CTATAACCAAGTACAATGGCAAATAAAGGTTCGGTCCACGAGGAACGAGAGTAATTGCAAATCAATCTTAAACCTAAGCTAGTTCGAAATCAATGGAAAATGGTGTTCTAAAATACTACTAATAAGATGGAATAAATCAATAAACTAAGACACTAGGGAGAACGGGAATCCGCCTAACCATTGGTAACTAAGCAACAAGGAATCACAGAGACAAACGGGATATGCAAAGACTATAAGTCTGATCAATATCATGTGATAGGAAGACAACGGGCAATACTAAGCTTGGATTTCTCATGCACTTAACATTACTCGATACATAATCAAACCACATTCAATAATGAAATACTCAATTCACAATCTCTTGTTCAAATCAAGAATATCATGCAATCAAATTCAAGATTCTAGGTTAGCTACTCCTATTTATAATGAATTAACATGCAATCGCATATAATCAATTTAATCACAATCCGTTTATCAAAATCAATCCTCAATTACATAGATTACCTAGGCCGGGTTTCATCCCGAAACCCTAGCTAGGAGACTACTCACACATATTCATAATCAAAGCAATAATGAATTCCAAAAGCATAATAGATATAAACATGAATTCTGATTAAGGAATAATAAAGCTTGATTAATAAACAAGAATGAATAATACCAATTGTATTGATGCGCATCAATGGAAAAGTTCAGAACTTTGATATCCGTCGTCAATGAATAATACAAAGAATCTTCGCAAATCTTGCTTCAAATAAATCCAAGAAAACTAAAATCTCTAGAAATATCTCTAAGAAAACTAATGAATCTCTAATACTAAGAACGTTCTCCAATAACTCTCTACAAAGGGTCTCAAAACTATATCTAAAAAACTGTCTCTTAACCCTTACAATCGGGCTATATATATATGTTTTAAATCGGAAAGTAAATCGCAGGCTTCCCTTCGTGAATCGGCACGGCCGTGCTGGAAGTGGCACGGCCGTGCAAGCATGGCAGTAGCTGATCCGCAGTATCTTCAATTATGGCACGGCCGTGCTGAATTTGGCACGGCCGTGCTGAATCTGGCACTGGCACGGGCATGGAAATTGGCTTGGCACGGCCGTGCTAATGTCTGGCACGGCCGTGCTAAAAGTGGCACGGCCGTGCAGCATAGGCAGGAAGGTTGCAGGCACTTTGGTCTTCTTAAAACAGTCACAACTTCTTATCCAGAGCTCCGTTTGAGGCGTGCAATATATCGTTGGAAAGCTCTTCAAGTCTACTTTCTAATTCAATTAAAATCACTCCATTATCATTTGTATACCGAAAGTTGTGAGCAAAATAGTGAACAGGTGTCATATTTGTGAACTGTTCTGCCTTGCCTGCTACTTAACTTGCCTTTCAAGGTCTTGAGAACCGCAGCAAAGCCTTAGCTTGGTGGACTAGGATCGATAATAGCCTGATTACGCACCAATGGTTCGGGACTCGACATAACTTGGTCAACTATACCTGTTAACACACCAAAAACAGACCGAAACCCGTGAAGCACGTAATATGAAGGAAACGAGTGTAACAAGACAATAAACGACCAAAACGGGCCTAAATACATCCAAAATCACCCATTTATATGCCTTAAAGCGCGCCCTAATGTGCGCTTGTCACTAATGTAAATAAATGTAATTTCTACTATGTAAAATGCTATTGGCCTGGATTAGTCAGAATACTTACTAGTATAATAATTTTTCTTAAAACAAATTTACAGCACTACTAGTAATTAGATATATTATGAGTTAAAGTATTATTATATTGACAAATGTATCAGTTAAATTGATGAAATTATTTAAAAATAGAAGGAGTGATAGAATATCCCAAAAAAGGGTTATTTAAATTATTGAACGATATATAAAAATAAAAAGATGAGAATATATAATTGGATGTACTTTATCTTTTTGTTGAGTTACTTTTGAATTGAACTCAAATGTCTTTGTCAATCTTAGCTTTAATAAGACATTTGTTTTCTTGGTTTGATGTTTGATGAAGTTATATAGTCAATTAGTCATGCTAGTTGTTAGTAGGTAGAGTTTAGGTCCATCTTTGTTGGACTTTAACTTGATGTACGTCTATTACTACCCCCACCTTTCAGATAACCAACAAAATACTGATAAAAGGCTTATTTTCTCAATTCTGGCATAGGAAAAACCAACACTGTAAATAAGTTTCAATTTGAGCATGTTTGGTCACTATAGTCCATCATGGGCTTTGGTGTGCTTTTGACCCAGTCTAACATTTTTATATGTGGTTATATATATGTGTGATTTAATTATTGTTAGTAGAAGACCTAATTGATTAATCTACATATTATAGTTGGTTGTTAACAAAACATGGTAAGAAACTAAATAGCTTGATTATTACCCACTCTTATTAATCCTAATATTGTCATCTTGAATGAAGGATATATATAATTCCTTTGATCTCAAGTGTACAATCTTATAAATCCTTAAGTTTTAATTTCTAATTTTGAATTGTCTTGACATCTTATGTTATTTATAATATTTTTCAAATGTTTCTTTACGAAAATAAATTTTAAGTTCTCATGAGGCTAAAGACACTATAATCCTATCAATATAAAAATCATGGCATGCTACAACGCCTAAATCAAAAGTTAGAAAGATAACACATATGCTCAATAATAGATCATTTTGGTGGAAGAAACCTTCAATCACAAAAACAAGTCTTTGTTTTTCTTTGTGTGGATAAACAATCCATTTACTAGTCTTATATAGGGATATTAATTGGTTGGGGTAAAGTAGCACCCCATTTCTGCCCAATTTGGATGGGGATGGGTCCAAATTTGACAGGACAGGGATAGGGGATGAGCCGGGGATGAATTTCAAGTTGTACCCGCCTCATACCCTTTGTACGTAATTGTTACTAAGTAGAGTTAAGCATAAAGAAGGACCCTTAACTTTCACCAAAGTTGCAAGTAGGTCCCTTAATTTGGAATGAGGCAATAATTTTCCTAGCTAATTTAAGTAGATGAAACCTATAAAAACTTACTGAAACTGCTATTTCATTGGATGGATTAGTTGCTTTGTAATTAACGATCTTCCTCCCCCTTTAAAAAAAAAGAAATTACATAAAACACAAAAAGATAAAACAAAGGGAGGTTTCTTCAATTAAAGGTTAGGCCTAGTTTGACAATTAGCTGTTATCTGTTTGCATTAATGGTTTTGACTAGCTAGTTATAACTAGTCATTAGTGTAAAAGTACAATGCTCGATAAGTAATTGTTAATTATTAGTTGTTTTAATGTATAAAACAAGAAAACTAAAAACTCTTATATAAACCTCCGCATGTGAGCTTTTTAAAAAGGATATTTATGGAACCAAAAAGTTCGTTCTTTCAAACATTATCCAACCAAACGCCCAAAGTGCTTTTTGTAATGGTCAAACATCTCTTTTTGCTCAAAAAAACTCCTAAATACCCTCTTATTTTAACACGTAACTTATTTTATTATAACCAGATACTACGTATATAATTATATTATTCCAAGCAAAGGTTAGCCTAGTGGTAAAGATTGAGCCTTTCAACCTTAAGTATAAGGGTTCAATCCCCACTAAGGGCACATTGAGGATAGGAATTTCCCTTGCCCCCTACTCTCAAAGCGTCTATCTAACCTGCAAACTCAGAGCAAATTGTCTTATGAACGATTTCGGTCTGATAGGTCAATTCATCTTACCTAAAAATTTACATTTTCTATTTTATTTGTTAATTTGGTCAATTTTATCCTTCTTATCAGCATTAAATTAAATCACATAACCATCTAAGTAAAAAAAAATAAAATTAAATCACAGGACCATCTAAGGGATTAAACATTTCAGTTGAAAAATTGACTAGAATAATCCCAACTTTGTCTCTTTTGCCCAAAATAATCCCAACTTTGGATAATTTTATAGGAAAAATTGTTATATAATCCCAACTTTAGGCCATTTACTTTAATTAATTCCTACTATCAATTATTCCTGAATAATCCCAACTTTAGGGGGCATTTTCTTTCATTAGGCCCAAACCGGTCAACAAAAGTCAATGACCTATTATACCAGGTTATTGGACACGTTATAATTTTAAGAAAAACCACCAGCCACTCTCCATGCCCTCCACCCCACGCCGGCGTTCGCCCCAACCCAACCTACCCCCACCCCCAGTGCCGCCTAGACTACCTTCCCCCAAGCAACCTCAGCTTCCTGCCGGTACCTCCCTCCCCGCCGTGGCCCCCTACTGCAACCCCAACTCCTCCCTTTCCCCGCAACTCCTTTTTGCAACTAATTAATCACATTTGCAAGTCACAACCCCCTTCTACAACAAACTGGAAAGGGGTGGGTTTGGATAGATTCCGCCGACTGGGGGTAGGTGTTGCGGCTTGCGACAGGGTGAGGGTTCACAATATGGTTGTTGGGAGAGTGTGTCGGGATGGGGGGAAGGGAATGTCGATGGTGTCCCCGGCGCGCGGAAGGGTCTAGGCGAGGCTAGGCGGAGAGGGTAGTTAGGCTGGTGGGGTGGTTTTTAAGTTCATTTAATAATTATTTTTTATTTTTTTTTAAATAATTTTTTTGATCAATTATATACTGACACGTGTAAAGTAACTTGTTATAACAAATTGAATGACTGGTTGGGACCATTGAAATAAAATTCGTATCATAATTCGGATTAGAAATTATTTTGAACAAATGAGGCAAAGTTAGTATTGTTCTAATCAAATTTTTCTAGTTAATAAGCGATTTCAAGGTTTCCATCCACTTTAAAGGACTTAATTGCCTCATTCCAAAAGCGAGGGACCTATTTACTTTACCAGGTACTAAGTAATATCCACATTACGAATAATCAAACAACGCCTCCCATAATCTTCTCTAGTGTTGCCACCACTCAGCAACCTCAAAACAATCACCATTTTCTCTCTCCACCGCAATCACCGCCGTAAAATAACCGAAACACCCAACTCACCATCTTTTCTCCGCCGCATAAATCAAGATGATAGAAATTCCAGAGCACATAATATTCCATAAAATCCTCCCAAATCTTCCCGCCAAATCCCTTGTTCGATTCAAATGTGTTTCTCATCAATGGGATTCCTTCATATCAACTACCCTTTTCGCCAAAACCCATCTTCTGCAACAACTTTCTCTCTCTTCAAGGTCTATTCTTACCCTTGATGATTACTTGGATTTTAAGTGTATTGATTACAGTGATTCAAATCTTGATTTCAGCAATTTTGGCACTAATTTTCTTGAGACTTTCAATTGGTTTCTGGGTTCTTGTAATGGGTTAGTCTTGTTGCTTTCTGCAGATGAAGAATCTTGTGAATATGATTACTTACACATCCCTGATTCTCTTCTTTATTTTGATTTTCATTTTGTGGTTTATAACCCAGTTTTTGGTAAAAATGCTTATATTGAGATTGAACATCCTGGTCAGTTTCTTGTTACAAATGATGAATATTCTGCGCAGGAATATAATTTTGGGTTTGGTTATGTTTCGTCTCGTGATGATTACTACATTGTTGCAATTAATTTTCCTGTGTGTTCGAGTAGTCCTGAGGCAGTTGTGTTTGTATACTCATTGAGGTTGCGACAATGGAAAAGTTATAAAACAGTGCGAAATGATAAGAAAGATAGACTGTCATTGGAATTACAAGATTACTTTTTCAGTAACACTGGAACACTGGTAAAAGAAACTTTGCATTGGGGTATTACACTAGGAAAGGATCAGAAATGCATTGTTACCTTTGATTTGGCTAATCAGGAAGAGTTTTTGGGGAAGATGGAATTGCCTTATGCTAATTTTGGAGAAGCTGAAAGTGGTGTCAGTGCTTTTTGTTTGTGTTGTTTGGATGATTGCTTGTGTGCTTGGGCGAATTATGAGGGCGGAAAAGTAGTAGAGATGTGGATGTTGAAAGAATATGGAGTGCAGGAATCATGGACTAAGTTGTTTCGTTTTAATCTGGCTCATTATTGTCGCAGTTTTTATGGATTTACCAAGTCTGGAATGGTTTTCAAGTTCTACAGTAACAATGAAATAATGCTTGCTGACTTCAGCCGTGATCCTCCTGAATATTTCCATCTTGGTTGTGTGGAAAGATGGAGTGCAGTGGATTATGTTCCAAGCCTTGTATCGCCTCTTGCCATAATCACGGAGCAAGGAGAATAGAAGATTGTGTTGATGTATACATTGTGAAAATTAGTTGCTTGTGTTGACAGTTATACATTTGTTATTCTTTTGTTAACTTTCTGTAGATGATAGTGCAATCTAGTGAATAAACTTAGCTACTTGTCTGCTTACTGCAATGTAGATGATAGTGGAAACTAGTGTGAATAAACTTAGCTACTTGTCTACTTACTGCAATGGATACAAGTTGTTGTTTAGGTTTGATAAGTATCATGTGTCTCTTGTATCTCTTTTATTGTAGATTTGATCACAAAGTGGTTCAAATAACATTTGCCATTGTAGCAAAGGCAATGAATAATATAAATCTTTTACTTGGTTGGAAATGGTTGGATTTGTTTTAGCAAATTCCTTGTTTAGTATTCATTAAATAGATATCTTGAATTCGCATATTCTTGTGTTTATACGAGTTGGTTCTATGAGCCGGAAATATAACAGTTATCCCTTGAACCTCTGACAAACAAATTTTAAAAAGGGCAGGGGTGGGAGAACAACGCAGCAAGGTCTTTGTTATGTTTCATGCACAAGAGGGATGATTGTTTCCGGAATCTAGATCTTCCTTGTGTCCTTTTTCTTTGTTTTTTCTTTTTTTTTATGTTACAGGACATGAGGTGCAACTACAATCACAGGATTCTGAGCTCTTTAAACAATAAAGCAGATATATTACTAAGGTAACAAAAGTTAAAGCTGCATTGTTTTGTAATTGATGTAATTGTTGATTTCCTATATCAAATTTTTGCTGCATGAAGTGTAGCAGACTGTATGTGTTGTGGACGAAGAATATGATCAGCATTCTTCAGTAATGAAACTAGCTTACTTTCAAATGTTTTTTGTGTCCTGTTAATTCTATGTCTATGTCAAATTGCTTTGAATGGTCTTCAAATAATTGTGTTTTGTGGCTTTTAAGCATCTGCTAGTGTTTTCTTCTTTTATTTACAGTATTTATTTTGAGTTTATTGGGTGTACGCAGTACACTACTTGATTGATTAGGCTGAGTATGTGGTTTCCAAAAAACTTTCAGAACCCCTTAATGATGCTATTGATAGTATAATATGAGACACTAGCTCTCAAATTGGTAAATTTGAAACAAGCTGGATTTTGGAAAAGTAGGACACAATAAGAGGACTTCTGCTTAATTAAAAGATACAATTTCTGTTTTCTCCATGGGAATTTCCTTCTTTAAATTGTTACATGTGCTACCTTATGCCTTCTCCTGGGATTGATGATCATGATTCTACACATTATGATATATTCCAAATTCAGGGTTGCCCAAAATTTGAGAATCCCAAATTTATCTTGAGCAATGTGCAGTAAGAGTCAGATTCTCTTATGGCATTTTATGATCTTTTGTTGTGTCACATTTTAATTGAATTACCATCATCATCATCACTTTGATAGTACCTAATACTTAAGGTGAAAATGGTGCTTAATAATGTACTCATATGTAAAATGGCATTTCTCAGTCATTTAGTCAATATGCCTGTATATAATTTGATGTTCCTTGGGTTTATGTTGTGATTCTTGCTAGACAAGGATGACATATACGGTTTAAACAAATTAAGTACTTTTGTTTAAAGCAGTAGCTTAGTTCAACCAATTATTCAAAGTAGGCTTGTGCTTAGCGTTGGGATTGGGATAATTTTGTTGCTGTAACTAATACTGGTTGCTAAGTAGTTTACTTGCATTTTTTTTTTTTAATTTTTTTTATTGTTTTTCCTTTGCACATTGTTTGGATGGGAGGAAATGAAGGGAAAGGAAGAGAAGAGAAAGGGAGGGGGACGAATCACCTTGTTTGGATAACGGATTGAGGGAAGGGGAGGGAGAGGGAGATGTTCATTTTCCCTCCTCTTTTAATGAACACTACCCTTTCATAGTTGGAGAGATTTGGAGGGAAAATGAAGCTCCACTTTCCTCCTCCCTTTCTTTCCCCTTCTTTCCTCTTCTTTCCCTTCTAAATTGTTATCAAAACATAGTGTTAATTGTAGGGAGTAGGATGAGTAGAGACTGTTTCCAGGATCAACTACGAAAGCAATTACAGAGATGGTATGATTTAAAAAATGTCCACAAGTAATAATGAGGAATGTCATTATAGAAAGTAATTGTTATAAGCTAAAGAGTTGCAAATATGAGCTCAGCTATTGCTGTCTCAATAATTAAACACTGTTTTTATTCTCCATTAGACCTCAACCAGGTAAAAATTAGCTGGGGTGCTCTGACTCAGATATAAATCCATGAGTCGGATCCTTCAAATTTAGAATTCAAGGATCCGGGAACACTTATTTGAAGAGAGTTTGGTTCATCCTCTAGTAGAGTTTGGTTCATCCTCTAGTATAAGGTATGGGGTTAGATTGATTCGCTATGCAAAAGGTTCGTATAGTGCCGATTCTCCTGTCAAGGACCCTAAGAACCTTCCTAGAGGTCACCACGTTTCCTTCTCTGTCTCAAATTTCGATAACTCTCTCAAAGTTATTACGGAGTAATCAATTTCAGTGCTGATTAATCTGCTAGTGTATCTATTTTTATTAAGAGTTGAGGAATGTTAATTTTCAACTGCTTCTTCCCTAAATGGAGAATATAATATGTTGTAGTGTTGTACTTGGGTTATTTGATCTTTGTACACACCCAAGTGTATCATGTACATGGTATGAAATAGTCTCAGGTCTACTGGAATGTATGATAGAACTCTCACCCTTGGACTGTTTGGATTTTTGTAGTAATTTTATTAGATTTAAGGTATGGACATGAGTTTTGGAAGGATGTATTGATGACAATGTAACAATCAAATTTATTAAAATACCTGCGTTTAGAGAAATATAAACCTGTAATTTAGGATGCAGTTCAACTGTAGTCGTTGAAATCATGAGATTTTCCTGATTTTCCTGATATACAGGAGAAGAAAAATTCCAATTGTTGAACGTGATTCGTATTGTGGTTAAAACTAGAGGCAGATCTGTAGAATACAGTAAGTATCACAAGTTATTATCTTAAAGTATTATTGTAAGTAATCATCTTAAATAAAATCGAGCTTTTGTATTCAGGAATAACCCCAAGTTTGGAGGTATGAGTGAATGTAGTTTAAAGTGTTGTTTATCTTGTGTGTTGTTGGTTATTTAGGTTTGTGGTATATATTCAACAAATTGCGTATTGAAAAGGTATTCCTATGACAGTATTATTCATACTTCATATGATGCAATGATCGACTCCTAGTTCATTAGATTGGAAACTTGGAAAGGGAAATCTGCGTCTACCTAAAGCAATGGGCTGTGTGGAGAGTTTACCCCCAAGATGTCAATAACACCATTCTAGAATTGTGAATACTGAAAGCAGAGGAAACCAATGTTCTCAAAATTCAGAAAATTGTATGACTGTTGACTATCATTGATTAATTTCATCAATAGATGATAGATGATAATTCATATTCAAATTTAACATCATGTACGAATAAACAGCAGCAACTTCTGTCATGCGATGAACTGGATATAAATTACACATAATGCGTATGTATGCCAATTCATACACATTGACACAACATTACATTGGGTTCACAGTCAAAATTCAGTGCAGAAATTTTGTAGCACTCATATACACTAGGCGACTAGCTATCTCAGATCGCCTTTCAAAAACAAAATCTGATCAATCAAGGGACAGAACACAGAACACTTGGTATCGAAAGACTGTTGCCACGTTGAGTTGTTCAGCGGCACAGCCAAGTGGTTCAGAAGTTTGCAACCAAACCTTATGGACTAAGGAATTCAAGAGTAATTCATTAACAATATTCCAATCATGTTAAAGTTGTCAAATTAAGCATCAACATGTGCCCAATCTACGACATGTGCTCACTTCAATGCTGTTCTAGCGCAAGCAACTCCTGTCTCTACTGTTATCAACAGGCATTGCTTCTATGGTCTGACAACGTTCCATAACATTTGTAGAAAAAAAAAAAAATCTTAGGCTCATGATGCATTGGATCTTGACCGATATTGTCGGATACATTAATATACTTTTGTAATTGTTTATTTTAGGACTCTTAGCAACTGGGATTATATCGAATGTAAATAAACACATGTTTTTGCTTTGTCAAAAAGATGGCTGATTGCTATAAACTTAAGCACAAGTGACTTCACTACAATTCTTAAATGCTTATTCAACTAATTGCGTAACTATCCTTCTTCTCAAAGCAAGACATTACTGTGCGTCCAAAATGAGCTTCACTAATCCAACAAATAATTCAAAGTGTGGCAAAACATAATTTATCCAAATGTATAGTTTTCCACCCTTTAGAATAACATTAAACAATGAAGATATAAGGTGTTTTACAAGTAATTTATACCATATATAATCTTAGATTAAGCAAATGCAAATACCAAATTCATTCCAAAGATGTCATTCATGAATTCCACAATAATCTTAGTATTATCATTCTTTGTTGCATTAAATTTCTCGAATACTCAAAGTTTTCAGCACCCTTTAGACCCTTTAAGCCCTAAAGAGATCAACGAAATACGAGCCATTATCGAGAAATCCCATCTCAAAACCCTTACAAATTTAACATACCACTTTGTGGATTTTGATGAGCCAGATAAGAATGATGTGCTACATTGGCTATCATCATCAAATAGACAACCAAAATCTTTTCCTCGTCGAGCTAAGGTGGTGGTCATAGGTGGGAAACAAACACGTGAACTCATAGTAGACTTATCGAAAAGGTCGATTGTGTTAGACCATGTTTACAAAGGTCATGGTTACCCCCCACTTACATTTGAAGAGTTGTTACAAGCAAGTTTACTTACACAAAAAGACCCTCGATTTTTAACTTCACTTTCAAAAAGAAATTTAAAAAGTTCTCAAGTTTCATGCTTACCTCTTACAAAAGGTTGGTTTGGAGAACATGTTTCTAAAAGGGCAGTTAAAATCACATGTTTCTATAGAAATGGGACTACTAACATATATGCACGACCAATTAATGGGATAACAATAATATTTGATCTCCAACTAATGAAGGTGACAACATACATGGACCGGTACAGAACCCCATTGCCTAAGGCCGAAGGAACCGAGTTTCATTCACGGCCACTACAACCCGGCCCGAGTTTCCCTAACACAACAAACAGCAAGTTGAACATACAAGGTAATGTTGTTACATGGGGTGATTGGAAATTTCACGTCGCATTTAATTCAAGAGCAGGGGTAATTATATCTACTGCTTCAATATTCGATTCAAAAGAGAATAAGTACAGGAGGGTTTTATATAGAGGGCATGTTTCGGAGACGTTTGTACCGTACATGGATCCTACAGAAGATTGGTATTATAGGACGTTCATGGATGTAGGCGAATTCGGGTTCGGGAAGGCAGCAGATAGCCTTCAACCCCTTGTTGATTGTCCAGGGAATGCGAGGTTTATGGATGGATATTTGATTGATGGTTTTGGAATGCCTAATTTGCTTCCTAGAGCTATTTGTATTTTTGAAAAATATTCTGGTGATGTTGCTTGGAGACATACTGAGATTGGTGTTCCTGGAAGAGTGGTACGTAATTTTTTGGTTTTCCAGTAATTACTTTTTTTGTTAATTAAAGGTTGTGGTAACAATAAACAAGAAAATATTAGGCGCACATGAGAGTAGTTAGATACTCGTTAAACTATTACTAACATAGTAACATGTCATTACACCATATGTCATCATGTTATGAGAACGTATTAATTAAAATACCCCAAAAAATTGATTAGTTTAATACTCGTGTTAATTTTATTGTTACTAATAATTACTATTTTGTACATATTTTCAACGGTGTAATTTGTCTTTTTCAGATAAGAGATGGAGAGCCAGAAGTTACACTAGTTGTGAGAATGATAGCTACCGTGGGGAATTATGACTACATTCTTGATTGGGAATTTAGACAAACTGGATCTATTACAGTTGGGGTATGTTTTCCTTTATTCTATTATATTATGATTAGGCTATTGTTATAAGTACTTCCGTTTCATTTTTTTTTTTAACAAATGAATTTTTTATATTACATAAAATACACCAAATGATACAATGTCAATAGAATACAAATAGGTACGCCCTTTCTTTCTTTTTTTTTTTTTTTTTTGGATAAAGAGCACCCCGGCACTTATGAGTAGAGCGAGAGGAGGGTAAGAGATTCTCTACTCCCAATTACTCTCATTTGGTAGGATTCAAACCCCAAACCCTTAAGGCCTAACTTAAGAAAAGTGAGCTAACACTTTGTTAGCAAGAAATATGGGTAATATTATAAGACTTGTTATATACTATTAATAACGATTCAAAACAGGTTGGACTAACCGGAGTTCTAGAAATGAAAGCAACATCCTACACATCAACAGACCAAATCACGGAAGAAGTGTATGGCACCATGGTGGCACCCAATACAATTGCCATCAACCACGACCATTTCCTCACGTACTATCTCGACCTCGACATAGACGGCAATAACAACTCCTTCATGAAATCATCGTTACAGTCAAAGAGAGTTAAGAGGATGACCACCCCTAGGAAAAGTTACTGGAGGGTTAAGAAGAAAATCTTGAAAAGAGAAGCTGAGGCTAGGATACGACTCGACTCGAAACCAGCTCAACTAATGGTGGTGAACTCTAACAAGAAAACGAATGTAGGAAACATAGTTGGTTACCAGCTTGTAACGGGGCAATCGGCTTATTCTTTATTAGCGAATGATGATTATCCTCAAATACGTACGGCTTATACAAAGTATCAAATTTGGGTGACACCCTATGATAAGTCTGAAAGATGGGCTGGTGGATTTTATGCTGATCAAAGTCATGGAGATGATGGCTTAACCGTATGGACGCGCAGGTAATTTCCTATTTCTAAACTTATTACAGTACGCGCGTAAAAAACGTTGATATTATAAAAATATAGAATGTAATAATTAATCTAAATTAATCTTACGTTGTAAATTTCTTCGTATATACTATGTATAAATTATTAAAGTCGAAAGTGACGGATTTATATAGCACAAAGCAAATGGACTTGCACACCCTAAAATTTTGATGAATATGTTAATGATAAGGCTCTAGTACGTGAGCATAACTAAATGGTACTGATAGAGTTATAGACAATAAGAGAACGGTAGATGTGAATGCAGTTGAAGGATTAAAATTTTGTTATGGCACGCATTTTTAAATCTTTAATTTCTATCCACTCCAAAATCCAAATCAAATATTTCATTTTTCTTATTTCATGCTTATAACTACATAAGTTTACCAATGTGCACTTAAATTATCCATTGTTAATTCACATAGTATATTTTTTGTTGCAGGAATAGAAAGATAGAAAACAAAGACATTGTGTTGTGGTATACAATGGGATTTCATCATGTTCCTTGCCAAGAAGATTTTCCTATTATGGCCACTCTACGAAGCAGTTTCGAGCTCAAACCAACCAACTTTTTCGACCAAAATCCAATCACTTATAAGTCATGATCAAACATAATCGTATTTGGATAAATAATGTCATAAAACTTATGGCATGGGATATCAGATACCTTTGAAGCATTCAACCTGATTCCAGTATTGGAGGGTCGAAATTTCAATATTGCAACATACACAAGGCTAATCGCCAACGAGTTCAATGGGCGCATGAGATTGTTTAAGGAGTGTCGAAAAATAGTGGGTTGCTTTAATTTATTAACAATACTTTGTAATTTCTCTTTGAGCATATGTTGAAAAATAAATAATTAAATAAAGTTCAAACGTATGTGACGAACGAAAGCTAAACCTAGTTTATTAATATGTTGTATGCTATTCACTTGAATTATGCATTAGAAGGTGTACAACAAAGCAATATATGCATTAATTTAACAATACATACTTTTGTAACTCCTTGAATAATTTATGATAATCAATCAATGAATCAATAATCTATAACTATATATACTTGCAAAAACATATTGTAGGAACGACTTGTGTTGAGTCTTGGTGTGATGTTTTTTAGACCAATTTTATTTGGCTTCTTCATCGTTCATTTAAAAAGTAGATATAAGAAATCAAATAAAATTATAAAAGGAATTTTGTAATTAAAAAAATTGCAAAAATATTGTTTCCAGGTATTTTGGAATTTGGATCCCTCGGGAGACTACAATCTGATCTGCCTGTGCATATGGTCACTTGTAAAACAACAAATATCCTATCAACAGATTTTCGCTTCCAACGATCAACTTAGTGATCAGAACGGATACTTTTGAGAGAGGAAGTAGAGAGATGTTGGAGGATTATTTCTTGGGCAATTATCCTTATGTTGCAATGAATGTAACATGTTCCATCAATTAATGTATGGGGTAATCATAGGGTTTCAAGATATGTGCTTTAGGATTTCGTAACTTGAAAAGGATACACTATGATTGACTGCCCAATTAGAGGAGGACATGTGTTCATAGGGGGCGTTGTCTTATGATGTTACATCATTTTCGTAGGCTTTTAAACCTTTTTAATAACAATATATTTTTAGTGGCACATATCACATTCGGATTGACTTTTTTGAGCTGAGCTAGTGTCACCTGGAGACTGCACCATTTGCCGGCCTTGAATTAGGCCACTTGGCCTAAGGTATTATTTTACCGTGGTCAAATATAACTTAAAGTTTAAAGGAAATAAACCGAGCGTAGTTTGATTTACTTAATTAATTAATAAAAAGAATTTAAAGATAAAATATATAATGTAATAAAATAATTATAGAAGTATGATTTGTTATAAAAAAAAATTGTTATGATAGAATTATAAAAAAAATATAGCAAAAATAAAACAATATGCTGTAAAAATTGATTAGCCGAAGGAAAGTTTAATTAAAAAAAAAAAAAAAAAAAAACTAATACTCCCTTCATTTTCCTAATTTTACTCCCCTTTTGTTTTAATTCGTTTCTCTAAATCCGACTTACTTTTACTTTATTATTTTTATAACATTTTTTATTCATTTTTTTTAAGAAAGGAAGGCCTTTGGTTCTCATAGTTTCCTAACCAGTAGGTTAGTGACTTACGTACCTATTGGTAAAGCCGGCCTACACGACCTTATAGGTGGGAAAGAAGCATGTTTTTCTTATGACTTGAAGTTGGCCACCGGGTCTTTCCTTTGTTTTTTCTTAGCTATGAGTGACTACGTTCCTTAAACCAAAGGACTACTAAAAAGGAACCCTTCATCACTGTTACCAGCAACGAGGTCAAGTATTGTGTGCGTACCTGAAAGTGGTACAAGTTAACCATTCATATAGGGAATCGTTAACAAGATGACTAGAAAATGAAATTTAACGCTATTCTTTCTATCGGAAGACCGAAAAAAAAGAAGAAATAGAAGTCAGGGTTGTAATAGCTAAAGCTATGCTTTTGGAAAGAAATGTAGCTTTTCCACCTAAAAGAAGTTATTTTGGGGCTTTCGGACTAGGCAGGCTGTTTCTATTAGGTTTGATGGGTACTAAATAGCAAGTAAACCCATCTATCTACAGTAGGAGTTAACCAGCCTTAACCAGTCAAAAAAAAAAGAAGAGGAAGAGAAGGTAATTTCTATTTTTAATTATACTTGGACAGGAGAGATCTAATTAATAGAGAAGTGAGGACAAGGAAGCAGTTGAGATGGTACGATGGAATGAATGTCACTTGCTCTATAATCTTCCTTCTAATAAAAAACAGGACTAACCATAATATACTAAATAACGAGACTAAAGTACTCCTGGTATCCTTTAGCGTAAGAGTTAACAGTCAGTCCTATCTTAAATAAAGTACTATAATTTAGATAGTATTCTAAATAAATTTCATACATACTCTTTATCAATCTTATCTTAAAAACAAAAGTAGTCACATACATGGTCCCCATTTCACTTTTCTTTTTCTGTAGCTATGGGAGCTGAGGACATAACTCGAAAAAATGAAGGGAGTAATATATAACACAAAAATGTATAAAAGGGTTGGTGAATGAAAAAATTCTCAAATTAAAATTGAAAATATAAAGAAATTATATTGATATTATATTAGAGTTCATAATAGAAATAAATTTGAATAAAAGAATTATATTTTAACATAAAAGAAATAGAATAAAATTTTAAGTTGCTTAATTGGATCAATTAAAAGAGAATGTCTAAATACTTTTTGCATTGGTAGCTACAAGTCAAAACCGAATCACTTGATACAGGGAGAGTACGGTTTTGAATAAATACATGTAGAATTGGTTGTGTAATAAGTAGGGTTGGGAAGAGAGATGAACAAATAATAAAATAGTAGTGAGTTCTTGCCAAATAAGAAAGTATTGTATTTATTATAAAACGGATTTAAAAGGAAAGTGTTATTATGAAACGAAGGGAGTATTGTATTTATAGAGGTGGGCATGGGCCGGGCCGACACGTGGGCGGCACGGTCGCGGCACGGCCCGGCACGAGCCCGCGCCCGGCACGGTGGCCGGTGCGTGGGCCGTGTGCCGTGCCGTGGACACAATTTTTGGGAAGTGGCACGAGCACGGGCACGGCACGGCGGGCGGCACGGTTTTAGGCCCACAGGCACGGCACGGAGGCACGGCGGGAGGCACGATTTTTTCATTATAAATTTTTGTATTATCGATTTATCGTACCGGCTTATAATAAAAATAAATAAGTTATTCATCAATTTGTGTGTTTTCGGCATTTTCGCACTCCTAAATTTTTTAATTATGTGCATTGTTACTTTAAAATAACATAAATAATAAAGAGTAAATTTAATAATAAAAAACACATTACGTCATTAACAATATAATAATACAAAAACATAAACATAAATTAATAACATTATTTAAATATACTTATTTTACAAGTTGTTTAAAAAAATATATATCAATTTTTATATAATTTTTTTATTAAAAAAAATAAAATAAAATTAAGTCGGGCACGGTGCCCGGCACGGCACGGCATGACAAGCACGTGGGTCGTGCCGTGCCGTGGGCTTGGATGTGCCAGAACGTGGCCCGGCACGACACGGCCTGCTGCCAGGCGAGCACGGCACGGCACGGCACGAGCCACCAGCAAGCACGACCAGGCACGGCCCGCGGTGGCCCGGCACGGCACGATGCCCACCTCTAGTATTTAGGTAAGAGGTGTTTTTTAGGCTAATTCCTAAAAATTTTGAGTTTATTGTCATATATTGTAAGTTGCTTTTTGTACATGGGTATGTTTATGAATTTTGGTAAATAATTATGAGTTTCATGTTATTAAACATTTAGCTATGATTTTTGAGCTCCAAAATTTTCGATTTGTGAACAAAAAAAGAGAAAAGATTGCTTGTCTAATATCATTCCTCTATTAGTTGATACTTTAAGGGGGTTTTGTCTGGAATGAAGGAACAAAAATGGATTCATGAAGGTTTGATTACCGAATCACTTCCTAATGGTATGTTCTGGGTTCATTTAGATAATAAAGATCTTATTCTCGGTTATGTTTCAGGAAGGATACGACGTAGTTCTATACGAATCCATTAATTATGATATTTGAGTATAGTATTTTTTTTTTCTTTCAATTGTCTATGCTTTATTGCTTTTTAAGAAAAGCAGGCAAGGTTTTCTTGTTTTGTATATTTATTTAATAATATAAAATAATTTTTTTTACGGAAATAATACAAAATAAATCAGTAGAGATTTATTTGATTGTTAGTATAGTAGAGATTTATTTGATTGTTAGTATAAGAGAAAATTAATATAAAAAAAGTAGTGATGGTTGAAGAGAAAGAGAAAATAAAATATTTATGCAAGTGAAGTAAGTGGGAAAGAGAAATAGTAAAATAGTACTCCGTAGTAAGTCCTTACTAAATAAGGAATTGTTTCAATTAATACAAAACAGATAAAAAAAGAAAAGTGTTGTGAAAACATTTTCAAGTCATTATGAAGGGGAGGTCTACTGTGTCATTTTTCAAAATATGACACCATAACATGATGATTTGTCATGTTATGATTGGTCAATTTTTGATTTATTTTAAAAGCCTAAATGTATTATACATGTATGTATAATTATAAATACATGTATTTTTTATAAAGAATACGCAATTGTTGTTTTTAAAATCTATATTTATCTTTTTAAAATCATTTTCGAAAATTAAATTATAATTAAAATTTAGAAACTAAAAAATTCATCATCGTTCATCAATAATGTTCTTCATTCATGTCATACATTAGCCACCCATTCCCAAAATCATTTTTATTTGTTAATGTATTCTCAAATCCGGCCTAAAATCCTCATAAAAATTCTTAAATGTATTGTGTTGTAGAGTTTCGTTTTTTTTTCTGTTTGATTTTTTAGGTTTTTGTTCATAAAAAAATCTCAACAACAATCTCATTTTTAAGTATTTGTTAAGGAAGAATTACCCACATAGGTGTTTTGCAATATCACGGTGGCCGGCGGCATAGTGATTTAGGTTGAATGATTGGCGTTCTTCCGACTGTGTAATCAGAGAAGACGACCATAATTTTTTTTTTCTTTTCGAGTCCCATCTGTTTGATCCGCAAAAATTAATTAATTTTTCGCGAACTTGTTTGTGAATTAAGTAATGACCTAAACTTCTTTTGGTTATTACATATAGAAAAACAGTGTTTTATATGTTCTGTTTATATTTAAGACATTTACTTATGTTTACTTTGAACATGACCTCATAATTATATACAAAGTCGTAGCACTGATGGCTACAAATCTACAATCAGGGGGTCAAAGCAATAAACTAGGGAAAAATATCTACAACTAACTAATTTACAATTATACAAGTCAAAGGCTATAAACTAGGAAGGAGAAAAATATGTCTAATTAATTTACATTTACAAAGATATATACAATATGTTTAGCATACAATATATTTAACACTTCC